CCCCATCCCCATCTCCATCTCCATCTCCATCCCCATCCCCATCCCCATCTCCATCTCCATCTCCATCTCCATCCCCATCTCCATCTCCATCTCCATCCCCGTCCCCTGCCCCTGCCCCATCCCCGTCCCTATTCCCTGCCCCATCCCTGCCCACGGCCGGCACAGGGTCAGGGTGCCCGGCTGACACCAGGGCCCGGCTGAGGGTGCCCCAGCATGGATGGGCGAGAGCCAGTGCCCGGCCCCGCACGTTACTGCTGCAGCTGCGGGGGCCGGCGAGCAGCAGCGATGGCCCTGGAGGCTGTGGGGGGTGAGGAAGAGGAGGGAAGGCTGGAGGGGGCCAGGCCGCCCCCATCCCCGCCGCAGCCGAGCTGCTGGGACCCTGCCAGGCAGCCTCTGCCCCCCAAACAGCGCTGGGGTGCTGGGGCAGGGGCGGTGGGCGTCCCTGCCGTGGGTGGCACGGGGCCGTGCCTGGCACATGGCGGGGGAAGCCCCGGCACCGTCCGGGGATGAGGAGTGGCCATGCCCGGCTGCTGGGACGCTGCCAGCCTGCGCCGCTCGCTAAAAATACGCCCCAGAGGTGGCTGATTACAGGTTTGGGGACCTCCGCAGAGAGGAAACAGCCAGTGCTGAAGGGGCTCCAGCTTGGCGAGACGAGGCAGGGCTGGCGCCGGCACCGGGCAGGTTTGCCGGGCATGGGGGCCGTGCCGTGCCGTGGGGGCCCCTTCCCGGGGAGCGGTTCCTGTCCCCAGCCCTCCGGGTCCCCGGCACCCCCAAAGGAGCAAACCCCTTTGGGGCACAGCCAGCGCCGTACCGGAGCACGGCCGGCACCGCGGCCGGCACAGGGAGCTCACCGGAGGGAGGGAAAGGGCGAGGCTCCCCCCGCGACAGAGCCGGCCGGGCTGTGGGTGGCGTGTCCCGTCCCCTGCCCCGGGGGACCGCGACGCTGACACACCAGCAAGTGACAATTGGTGCTGGGCACGCAGCTCGTGGGCGGCCGGCAGCCGAGATGGGGGGAAAAGGCCGATCCAGCCTGAAAACGAGTCAGGCTTTCTCCCCGTAATGAAAAGAAAACACTTATTCTTATTAGAAAAATAAAGGAATTAAACGCGGCTAAATTCAGCATTGTTTGAGAATGAGAGACTCCTCAAAAGAAGGATTTTGATTTTTTTAGCATTTTTTTCCCAATTATTTTTGGCTGACGAGCGATTCTGGCTGACCTGAATCTGCATTTGTTTTGGCGAGCAAACCGTGTGTTGGAAAATCGTTACTCGGCGGCTGCAACCACCAACCTCCCCGGCCGTGCCGAGCGGCGGGTTTTCCCGCACACGCACCAAGGGACCGGGCGCGCCGG